ACTAGTGCATTAATGCTTTCTGAATGTGGATTTGTGGTTCTTTTTGCCGTGCAATGCGTTTTACATTGGTAAATGATCGCGAGCTCCAGTGATCATTTACCCATGAAAAACGCATCGCACGGCAAAAATAACCACAGAAAGCATTAAGTAAGAGATAAATACCGAGAACGGAGGCAATAAGCCATATAAAGCACGAGGGGCCGTAGGCCCCGAGGGCTTTAAAGGCTTATTGCCGACGTTCGAGGTATTTATCTGGCTTATTTCATACTTGAAGAAGTTTTCCAAGCACTGCATTAATATTTTCATTTTAAAATAGGCAAAGAAGCCGTTTTCATATGAACTAAAAACCAAAACCTCGATTAGAAAAGTTACGAAATTTACTGTATTGACAATTCCCAACGGTAATAATTTGCATAAGCATTTTTTTCGTTAGTCCCAYGAGACCAATGCTAACAATATACCTTTTGTAACAAGTAACTGGACAATGTTAAATAACTGTTTTATTCCACAACTGACATCGATTAGTCAGTTAGCATAGCGTAACAAGGGGCCATTTCATTGCGCATGCACGATACGCTTGAGCTACCTTGGTCACAGCACTGTTTCGAAGCTCGTTCTCGGTCGAGATGTTTACATAATTTACTTTCAGGAAAATACGCTTTTTCATTCTTCAATAACTAATTGATTAGGTTCAAACGTCAGTCTAGTATCGGATATGTGTTGAAAGTCTTATTCAAGTTAAATTTCTGGAGTATATATGGTTAAAAATCATACAGGGTGACTGACTTGGAGAAGATAAAATGGCGACTGAARTGTGGTCAAAACCATACTTTGTCGTTGGTTTATCTTGGGAAACAAGACGCTCTGGTCCCTGTTCTTATAGCCATATAATTTGGATGCTATTTGTACGTTATGACAACATTTTGTTTTGAGATCGTTTGCAATTAAAGCGGCAAGATTCACACAGCCTTTATACGATAATTGTTAAATTCGCGCTTTTTGACATTTTTCATCTTTGAAATATTATTAAATCTAGTGAAAATACCAATGCGAACCAAGCAGAAATGATTATAATCGTATGTATTGATACTGTTTTAAGAATGATCATTAATTCAAAAATTGGCGAAGATGGATATTTTGGCCTTTCAAGATTGTAAGCATTGTTTACATGGTCATTATGTTTTGGTCAAAAGTCGTGAATTTTGAAATATTCGAGCATGAAATCAGATGTATTTACATGTTATACCCATTACAAAAGGCCATACATGATATATCAGCGATCGGACAATTGTTTTGCTATTTATGAAGAATCAAATACATGATAAATATGCTAATGTGGTTACTATCATTAATAATTATATATCTGACTTATGTGAGAAAATACCACACTTATTTTATTTGATTTGATGTCCTTTGTTTCTTTGCTTCTGATATATCAAATTTGAATTTCTTAAAAAATTGGCTAAGGTCGGTAAATTTGCAATATTGTACCATATGATGCTCTGTTTTGCTTGTCATAAATATGAAATAAAACTCATATCCACTTGTTAAAGCTTGTTTTTAGCTACAGACAGGGGCTAATTCAGCTGGTGAGCTCAGGGAGTTTGCAATAACCCCCTCACCCCCTCGAGATTTAATATGCTTYCTTTTATTTGTGTCTCCTTTGTCATGGTTTCTTGGAGAGCTCCATGGCTGAGTACCCTGCACCCCTCCCTGGAAATAATGTAATCTTCACACAGTGCTTTATTGCATGTAACATTGAGTACAACAAATCTGCAACATTTTCATGTATTGTCATCTGATCTTCTTATCTTATAAAACAGGTGGGGAAGGGGGCTATATAGCTTCCCAATATATTGCTCAGAAAACAATTTTGAAATAGTATTAACGTTTTTTTGATGGAATCCGCTAATTTTTCAAATGCTATCCGAACTCGACTGCTACTCAGTCCCTGATTATTATACCTTATGTTTTATCAAGCGCTACAAATACGCCCGTCTGCGCCTAGACGTTTGATTGTTACAAACTAGGTCTTTTAGCTATGTTATTGTAGATCGATAATTTCTTTTTAATTTTTTTTGTATTGCCGTTGTTGCATACTTTATTACATTTTCAATTTCTTTATTACGCTCGCAAATAGCGATGGAACCGAAAATATAGAGAAATAAAGGAATGCACGATAGCTTTTCGCTGTCGTGTAACAAATTAATGAGCGGGTAGNTGCTCTGTTTTGCCTGTCATAAATATGAAATAAAACTCATATCCACTTGTTAAAGCTTGCTTTTAGCTACAGACAGGGGCTAATTCAGCTGGTGAGCTCAGGGAGTTTGCAATAACCCCCTCACCCCCTCGAGATTTAATATGCTTTCTTTTATTTGTGTCTCCTTTGTCATGGTTTCTTGGAGAGTTCCATGGCTGAGTACCCTGCACCCCTCCCTGGAAATAATGTAATCTTCACACAGTGCTTTATTGCATGTAACATTGAGTACAACAAATCTGCAACATTTTCATGTATTGTCATCTGATCTTCTTATCTTATAAAACAGGTGGGGAAGGGGGCTATATAGCTTCCCAATATATTGCTCAGAAAACAATTTTGAAATAGTATTAACGTTTTTTTGATGGAATCCGCTAATTTTTCAAATGYTATCCGAACTCGACTGCTACTCAGTCCCTGATTATTATACCTTATGTTTTATCAAGCGCTACAAATACGCSCGTCTGCGCCTAGACGTTTGATTGTTACAAACTAGGTCTTTTAGCTATGTTATTGTAGATCGATAATTTCTTTTTMATTTTTTTTGTATTGCCGTTGTTGCATACTTTATTACATTTTCAATTTCTTTATTACGCTCGCAAATAGCGATGGAACCGAAAATATAGAGAAATAAAGGAATGCACGATAGCTTTTCGCTGTCGTGTAACAAATKAATGAGCGGGTAGCCTGTTGTGAGCCTGCAAGTAACAATGCGACAATACAGCTGCTCGCGCATGGTCATGCAAAATGGCTCCTTGTTGCATAGCGTGTTAAGTATAGGATTTTCAAAGCTAAGGTTGTGAATCTACTTGGTGTCATTTGAATTTTTCTTTCTTTCTTTCAAGTTTAAAGTTTCAGACGGAAAATTTCTAAGTTGAACGTAGTAGTTAATTAGGTATTCAAGGGCAATAAGTACATTAGTATTCAAGGGCAATATCTAGATATTGCCCTGAAACTTCGATATAAAGCACTTGAATACACAATGAGCTGTGGAATAAGCTAGATACAACACTATGAATAACAAAGAAAACTGAATCAAGTATGAAATAAAGTGTATTTCTTAACTTAAAAAAAAACAGAATATAACCCCCCAAAAAAAACCAAAATATCGATGTTGAAAATGGCCTAATTTGAAGAGATTTCAACGGCTTTCGGCCGATAATCGCCATAGGAGGCCTGGAGTGGAGCCGACTCTTCTCGATAGTCTGGTAGAGTGCAAGTCACATAAGCATGAAACAATTCTTAACTATGTAGTGCTAAATAAGATTTAGTTATCAACTAACTAAGAATTGAGAACAATGCTACAAAGGAATTTAAATAATTGGCATTGCGTTTATGCTTTGTTGAATTCTTAGTTAGTTGATAACTAAATCTTATTTAGCAATACATATTAAGAATTGTTTCATGCTTATATGACGTGCACTCTAAGCCTGTGGGCTTATGTCACATTGAGTATCGCTATATCATCTTTACTTACATACAAGGAAGTAAACTTCCGACCAAACAAAGGAAAAACTGTCGTAGTGTTGATTTTGTCTGAAATTGCATCGAGCTGACTGGGCATCAATACATCACCATTGTCTTCACCAAATGGAGTGAAATCATCTAAGGAAATAGGCGACGATGGATGTACAAGGGTAATTTCTGTAAATATGAAAAGAAAGGAAAATGGTTGCCGTGGACATCTTAATCAGTGTTTTCATAGCCCAACTGACCCCAACTGATCGAAAGCGCTATCAACGAACTCAGAAATATTCATCGTGTAATCATGCGTAACATTCATTTGTTTATATATAAAAAGTTCGCAAAATAATAAATATAGCATATTTGGTAGTAGAAGATGACAACTATTGTGAAGAGGGAACTAGCATCCAGGGAAGATAAAGAACGGCTTTCACTACGCTATAACCGAAAGGTGCGAAAAACAATAGCGTAAGGATTAGAAAAGATTAATTAAGAAGGTGATTCTTTTTTCTTTTGTTTTTGCTTGTACCTCAGAAGGCCCTAACGTCACAGCAAGAACACACTGGAGTTTTCAAGAAGTAAACACAGCGTTCAAGATTTAAAAAAAGAGACAATCAAAATAACCAATAATCTCCAAAGGGTTTATAGGGACTTTAAGGAAGCTATAAGGCTTGTTTATCATCAGTTCCGTCAATCACGGTATTCTCCCAGACCTCTGAACTGCTGCAAATCTTTGTAAAGATTAAAACTGACCTTCCATCGCGCCTTTTAGATATCTCAGTACAGTACAACTTAAAGCATCTGGAATGCTTCTGGAATGTAAATATATGAGATCAACGAAGCGTCCGTTTCATGCAGATTTGATGAACTAAAAGTACCCCGGAAATAAACTCATATCGTTTTTATACAAAGCTAGCCAAGATAATATGTTTCTTTTCAAATCATAATTGTACAAGATTGTCTTTTTTTGTAATCAGTTCGAGAAGCTGTTTCAATTTCAGAGAAGTTTCTTATAGTGTTATAATTTAAGCCTTCGTTTGAGACTTTGTATACCGTACTTGTATACTTGTCATTGATATTAACCGACAGATATCGATTATTGATATAGAACTTACCAAGTGCGTAGCAAATACCGGCCACAAACCAGATAAAGGAAACGTTTACTTGGATTTTCTTCATTCGTTACTCGTCTTTTTGAAATTTACGGCTTCACCAGCAGCTATTTATTGTCCTCACAACTGTTGTTTTGACTTCGAAACACTTACCCATGACCCTATGCTCTTTTTTTCATTCCTTGACGCATATTGCATCACTACGAGGCCACGTGATGAAAGTTCGGGGGTACGCATTAATGTGTTCCAAGAACAAAATGCATTGCTAGTCTCTCTATTGACGTTCATTACGAATTTTTGTGGATTCTGTGCCTGAATATACCTGCTCCACACATCGAGAACTTTATTTGAAAGCAATTAAGTTTAAGAAGTCTTCCATGCCATATGTTAACTGACCTCTTTCATGATATAGTATCACACTTGGGGAAGGCATTTTTCAGTCCAATTAAGAATCATTTGAGCTTCCCAGGCGGTGTAATAGTTCAAGGTGCTACAATAATATCTTAGGGTTTGGTAAAATGTCTTCTCATTTCAGATCGTTTTTCCTGTTCAATGAGAGCGAAAAGAAAAAGAAAGTACAAAAGAATTTTGACATTACAATGACTTTAGAAATTTGAATCTTCTCCAATCCGAGGCTAAGCCTGTATTCACAACAAGACCTAGAGTTCGAGCCTTCTGGAATACAGACTTAACCTTAAATCGTTTTCACAGGTGACTCCTTCAATTCTACAAAGACACCTGTTTACAGTCAATACTCCAGTTTCGAGTTCTTATTTGTGAAGCCTTAACCTCGAAAGTATGTAATATATTCTTCTATACAGCAGAAATCCTATTGTAATGCAAACACTCTGTGTACAAAGAAGACAATAAAACATTATGCTTGATTGAAGCTAACCTTGCACAAAAGAGAATTCGAAACTGGAGTATCTATTTTTGAATTCAATTTAATCAAAGTTCATAGTAGGCCTCCGTCTGTGTAGTCTTGTTAGCACATCAAAATAGCACAACAGATAATCCTAAAATCTTCATACAATCTTAAATTGAAAGCGCTTATAGACAGTAAAAATCAAAGCGCTTCTTTGGACTAATTTCTTTTTTTATTCCAATACCTTATTTAACAAATAGATCTCATTTTTCCGTGCGTGTGTACTCTAATAGATACACAGATGACGTCAAAATGTAGTGAGAACAAAAAAGTRCGCACGAGACGCAGTCGAGTGCGTGACTGTTGTTCTCACTACATTTTGACGTCATCTGTGTATCTATTAGAGTACACACGCACGGAAAATGAGATCTATCTGYTTTATACAACAAACAATTAGTTTTGACGTAATCCGTGTATCTATACTTTGATAACACACGAAAGCCAACCAATCAAAACGTCTGATTTTACTGAAAAGTTGTATAATTCCTTTTCCCGGATGTTGCAGAGAAAGATTTATTGATGATGTAGTTGTCGTCAAGTTCGAATATGGGATAGATCAGATCCTACACACAGCTAGGCCAGATCTTTATGACCGCCATCTTGGATTTTCAAATAACTTTATATATTCACCTCGCTTTGGACTGGTTTTTGCATATATTCATATGTTTTATAAAATAAACAAAATTCCAAAATAGAGCGATTTCATTTGTTTTATTCGAGAATCCTTTCAAAACTAAATTTACTGTAAAAACTATGTAAATTGTGTTCATATCAAATTTACAGAAATTTTAAGTACTCTGTAAATTTTCGTTAAAATTCGTGCAAATGAAACTCTGTAAATATCGCACAAATCTGAATTTACAGGCTATTTACAATTACAGGACTGTGGACAGATACAGGAAATTTACATAGTCTGTAAATATCCCGTAAATATCGAATTTACACCGTATTCCCAGCATATATTTTCCCAGCGCACGATTTTTTTCCAATGCAACTCTGAATGGAATCACTAAAAGACTTTAAAGAATTAAATTCTACCTTGATCAGTGTTACCATGGGTACGATCAAATAGTTCAGAAACAACCAAACCAACAACTCCAACATCAACTCAACAACGACAACCAAAAGAGGAACGCAAAACAAGGCTAACAAAACCTTTCCTTTCTTACGACTCACAGTTCTTACCTTTTTTGCTATCTTTTCTTAGATTATTAAATACTATAGTGATCAGCTAACCCTGACTCGTATGACCAGCTGTTACACTTGAATGTGCTCTTCTCCACTTTTCACTGCAGTAACTGCAACAATCAAAATTGCTATGAGTCATAAATGGAACGTCATCTGCAAATACGAGACAAAGTCGCTAGAGTTGCTTAAATAGAACTTAACGTTTCCACGGCGAATAGGAAGGCTCATGTTTGAAGTTCCCTGCAAATGGTAAGTTAATTACACAGTTAGACCTGTGAAAGTAAAGTCTAATAAACTTGTGGCCCTCTATATATTCACTCATACTCACTACCTCAACATTCATTATTTTACCACACGACACTCCTCACAGCTAGTTTTTGACTGAGGGAGGAAAACCAGCGGACCTGGAGAAAAACCCTCGGAGCAAGGAAGAGAACCAGCCTACAAACTCAAATCACACATATAGTCCCGGACCGGGAATCGAACCAGGACCACAGCGGTGATAGACCAGCGTTTTTTAAAACGGTTAAAACCGCTCGGCCATCCTTGCTCCTCCTCGCTGTGAAGACAGCGTAGATAATAAGAAAATATTAAAATGCAGATAAACCTACCTGCTCTCTAGGAACCAAGTTAATTATCAAGGTCACTGAGTAGTCGACAAAAATCAAGGCAACAAAGTCAATTCCTTAGTGATACCTTGGGGCAAATCCCTTTAATTACATAAAAGAGACTAAAAGGTCACTTACCTTCGATTAATCATGAGCACACTTCTGTGGCGGAAACTAAGTATCTGATTCGCGACAACCAGCAGAGACCAGGGCTCTAGTCAGAATGATATCTGACCTCTTGGTTTTGGAGATATCTTAGTTCAATACCTCCACAAGAATAGATATTAGGTAGTTCGACCAGGAGTATTAAAACGTTAATGGATTAACGCTAGACTGAGATTAACTCTCAACCTTTTTTTGCGGATTTGCCTGCATTGGGCTATTTGACTTATTGAAAAATTTGAAAAATTTGAAAATTTTCCAGTTTCGGGTTCTCGACCCGCTATAACTGGTTGACTTTCAACAACTAGTTGTAGCGGTTTCGGCTTAACGGGTTGAACAACACGATCTAGCGGGTTGAAAGACCGGTTATTCGAAGTGGGTTAAAACTTTGCTGTTAGTTATGTGGTGGAATACATAATCAGTTTTAGTTTCAGTTGAGAGTCTTAGCAGAGTACTATTCGAGCTTGGATATCTTTTTTCAGGACGAACTGTTTAGCTATAACTGAAAATCGACTGAAACTCGAATCGAATACGAGTTACTCTAACTCGTTACTCGAGACCTTTGGCTATCGCTATTGATGATGTTGACCTTTATATCCATATGTAAAGTCGATGTCGTTGYGACCAATGCGAATAATGTAATATCAYGAAAWTAAATTTTTCCGCCAGTCAGAGCAGATGGAGTAACATAGGTGTGATCACGAACTTACTCAAGAATTAGCAAAAATTGTATGTACAGTATGTGTCTTCTGCAGCGAAAAGTCACGCTGTTTTAACTTACAAACCTGCTTGAATACTACTAGGGTCTATTACCAATCCACCCAAATTGCCTCCACTTTGTGCCACGGCATTTTTCAAGGGAGACAAAGGATCACTCACGTTCGCAACCAATTCGAGTTTGAAATCTACAATCACGCTTCCCTTCCTAGAAACAAGAAGTAACGAATTTGTCACAAATCAAATCATAACAATATTTTACCAGAGCATTCAGTGGTATTAATGGATCTTGGACGCTGTAGAGTTTCTCGAGGGAGTAGTTTCAAACTTGACATGGCCATGGATATCTTGGTGTTGAGGGTTTATTTTATTGTCATTCATCTAGTGAATACCCGCTGACATGAGGTGAGTTGTCTCTTGGTGAAAACGTATGCAGCGTCCTCGAACATATTTCATATGATTAAGAGAGTTACCATGATCATTATTCATTGGGTAAATAATGAACAGGACAGAAAAAAATATGATTCTCCCCAAATATATGCACAAATTGTCTATACGTCAGGCAGCCTGACTAATTATCTGAAGGTGTGAAAGAAGGTTTCTATCATTGCACGCTTAAAACCCTTTGAGGTCCKCTTTAGGCCATTATTGGTCGTTTACGACCGAAGTTTGTAAAAATTGCAAGTATCCGAGATCGCAARTGAAGGCCACCAAATGCACTCCATGACAACAGCTAGTAATTTAAGTCCATCTTAGAGTTGAAAATATTTCACATCAAGCACGATATCTGGGCAAAAAGAACCTCTGAAAAAAATGGAACGCCTAAATTTTGACTTTGTGGTGTACACGAAACGGGTGGGATTCACGTCTCTTCGTCTTCAGTTTTAGAGTCAAAATCATCTTCGGCAAATCGAAATTCTACGCCTTGGAAATTTACAATCCCAGATCTTTAGCATTTCTGCATTTTTGTTTTGAGTCTCTACAGACCTACCAACAGCCCCCTTTTCGACACCAATCACAGGAAACACAGATTTCTCACTTGCGCGACCGATTTGCATCATGGGAAATGTGGTTCAAGCTCGGCAGGGAGCAACCAACGTTCCTGTTTTCATAGATTTTTTGCAAGTGACAAGCCACTCGCACCTACCGGCAAAATATTGCAMCGATTGCATTCTTTGGATGTTAAAACTCGCCAATTTTACCTTGGTAGGTTCTGAAATCTGCCACAGAACGACTAGGGAGGTGACCTTTCTCTAACGTCGGCAATTCAAAGCTAAATTCGTATCGGGGACATTGTCTTCGAAAAATCGTTTCCCGCCTCTGATTTCTTCCAGAAGAGTGTCTCTGCCGCCTAGTCGAGCTTCATAATGCAGTCCTAGGGGCTTCTGTGGCAGCAAATGACTCGAAAAATCACTTMAAAAYGGTTTTTGGGCGAATTTGAGAGCGAGCCGTCTCAAATTCGCCAGGCGTCGGTGTAGTAAACAAACTCAGAGGAATGTGAATCTACAATAGTTTGATTGACAACTCCTTATATGGGGCATATTTAATTTTTTGAAATATTAGTCTCAAAAACACCCTAAAATCCAAAATAAATCGCGGACGTTAAAGGGCCAACGGTCGTCTCGCTTCGATTCAAAGCCACGGCTACTTTTCAGAGATGGCGCAGGGAACCGCGATGAAGAATATTGTAATGAAAAAATAATCAAACGTCAGGCAAAAATCGATGGAACGACAATTATTTAAAGYAATATAAAGAGAGAAATGTGAAATCGGAAATAAAGCTGTTCGACAAGGTTGTAGACACAACCACGGCACTCATTCTGAGATTTTCGATTTCCCGACGGAGTGTTACGAAAAAGTAGATGTCAGCCAATCGATTATCGATTTATTAAAGAATAAAATCCTTGTTTTGTCAGTTTGTTTTTCCAAACAACTACTTATCCTTTTGTTTTGAGGAGGCAAAATTGTTTTCAGAAGTATGCACGAATTGTGTGGAGGAAAAAAATTATTAGTGGCCCTCCATTCCTTAATAATTGATGACAACTCAAAGAACATGAGAGAACTTACCCACATACCCAATGCCGATAGCCATAGATACACTTACCGAAATGCATTTACATAAACTCCAATTACACTTTTGTAGCCTTCATACACCGACTTGAGCTTCAAAGAAGATWWAAAAAAAWCAGTATGGATGGTCTGGTTCTTACTACCACGCTGTCATAGTRTTTATCTAAGGTTCGCGTCCGTCTCAACTTCAGTCAGAAATCAGTCAAATTAATGTGCGAATGTGACGTACAGTAAATTTAAAAATGTAAGAGTGATTCACTTGAAATGGATCTTTTACAGTAATAAGGTGCACATATTGTAACCAATACCAAAAATAGAATAAAATAATTCATGTAGTTTCAAAGTTAAGCCACTGTTAAAAAGAAGTATAAACCCAAGGTACCAGATAAAGCCCAACCCAATTCCTTTACAATTTTGTAAACTGAAAGTGAAACTGTTTTATAGCTCAATTTCTTTTAACTTAACAAAAAAATAAAGTGCTTGTAGCCAAATTTTAAAAGGCTTCAGTTGTCAAATTGTTTGATGTAAGTACGTTACAACACCTTGAATCACGGCGTTAGTCAGAAAGTATTTTTACTTTAACACTCTGTCACCATCATCATCATTATGTCTCTTCGCGATAGTAGGCTAATAAGGCCTTCAYCCCCTCTTTTCAGTCATCTCTATATTTTGCTGCCCTTTTAGCTTCATTCCCTGTCTTCCAACAGTCTATACCATTAAGAATCTACTGAATCATTCTTCCCTTGACCACCCCAACGACATCTGAACACATCTCTTTTTTCCCAAGAAAAATAATCCAATGGAACAATCTGCCTGCCTCTATGTTTAATAATCTGCCCTCACTGACTGTTTTTAAAGAAAAATTTTAAAATCTGTTTAAAGCACCTCCCTGTAAAGTAAATTTTGTTATACTGATCCCCCAGCCAATAATCCTCGTTTGTAAGGGGCAGGCTGCACTTGAAAAAAAAAAAAAAAAATACATAAATAAATACCTCTTTCTCAATTTCATCTTTCAGTTTGTTGAAACTTGGTGAGTTTTTGTCGTTAAATTCCTGTTGGTATTCACGGTAGGTCAAACGAAATGTGGCGCTAAACGTAAATGGTGCAACTGAAAGGAAAGGATTCATAAAACGTTTAAGTTAAAACGTGAGAAAAAGGTCATCGTTCTGATAAGAAAATGATAGAAACTACTGGATTTTGCATGACTTCTCCNAATGACCAGGAGTACTCGCCAGGAGGATTAGCTGATGCGCTACAGGTGATATTAATTGATTCTTTTTCGTTCAAAACCACACTTGTTGGCGACACCTGGATGTTGTATGGCTTATCTGAAAGTAATCATTGCTGGACTCAATCATTTCTTTTCTGATTCAAAAGAAGAAGATTGGCGACCATGTTGGTGATATCAAAAATAGACATGGCAGTAAAAACTTGACTGGTMCGCCGTGACCGTAACCTAGGAAACCACCAGCACAAAATTCAAATATCAAATTCTATTATATGTTGAAACTCAGTAGAAGCTGAATTAAATTAAAATAATTTAGAAAATGCTTGATCTTGACGTTAAGGAAAAAATATTCTAGAYCATATTGAATTTTTGCTACAATTTCGCTATAGAGTATAATCACTCTATTTCCARGGTATAGAGATGTAAAGTGAAGTATCAATCGGCTTGCACGGAGAAAATCTTTCAACCCCCCGCCCCCCTCAAAATCTTAATCACCCCTTATATCTARTAATTATTATGTGAAACAAGCTTGAAGCAAGCGAGCATAAAATGTCAAAATGTTTGCGCATGGTGCTCATTTTTCATGATTCCACGTTAAAAGAATGATTTTTGAAACCGGATATAGATATATCTACACTTAATTTCATTCCCGAAATGTTAACTTCCTACCAACAAAATTATCAAAGACGCTCCATGCATTACGTCACGTCTATGCAAACGATTTTGGAGCATTTTCAATATCGTATATGATTTATCATTTAAAAAGATATCAACAAAATATTTGCAAATGTAAACGAAAGTTTATACATGGATAGGCAGATCRAACGAAATGTTCTATCTTTATCTCTAAAATACTCGATTTTTAGCTCATATTTAGATTGATTTTGCAGTTCTATTACGAAACGACGTGGTGCTAATTGTGCATTGTATAATACATCCATCCCATTGGTTAAAACATGAAAATCTGCTATAATTTCACAAGCTAGMGCATTTTCTAATATTTTATTTAATGTATGTTTTCCATTTCATGAAAGCTTTCTTTAGCTTCAATATCAAGACAATTATACCTGGGGAACATAGCAAATTAGAAGCATCTTTTGGCTATTGTTTTTAGTTTTTATGATTGGATAAGAGCTTTTAATACAAAGAAACTAGTTTCAAAATAAACTTTATCCACATTTTATGAAAAAAATGTGTTACCCATAGGTTGATATATAATCAGTGTGAAAACCAAGACATTCGAATGTGGGGAAGTTGC